AGCTCCACTTCAGCCCCGTCATTCTGGACCCAAACACGGCACACGGCATTCTCTATCTGTCTGATGATCTGACCAGCGTGAGATGTGGAGACACAGAGCAGAAGCTTCCTGAAAACCCAGAGAGAAACATTATGTACACCTCTGTGTTTGGCTCTGAGGGCTTCAGCTCAGGGACACACAGCTGGGAGGTGGAGGTGGGAGATCATCCTGAATGGAGAGCGGGTTTGGTTAAAGAGTCAGTTGACAGGAAGGGAAAGCTGTACCTTTCACCAGAATATGGATTCTGGTGTTTATTGCATGGTGATGGAGAATATACCAATGGTGCTGGTAAGACTGTGACAGTGAGGAAGAGTCTCCAGAGGATCAGAGTCCAGCTGGACTATGACATGGGGGAGGTGTCCTTCTACAACTCTGAAGACATGACTCACATCTACACTCACAGAGACACTTTCACTGAAAAACTCTTCCCTTATTTCAGTGTTGGTCCAGCTAAAGACGCTAAAACCTCTGATATCAAAATCTGTTAAATTGTTGGTGAAGCAGTTTTAATGAATTTTCTTCCAAATGCATAATGTTTCTTTAATTAGACAAAAGATACTGAATCAGGAATGCAGTTTTGCTTTTTAAGTTGAGCTGGAGACAAAAAAAAGTGGTGTAAAAAAATATCCATCATTAGTTTATGTTTGAAAAAAGACATTTGAGCTTTGAGTTCTTCAAACTAATATTCCATCAACTTCCTATTATTGTTGGTCTGTATCTTGTATGTGGATTTACATTTGAAACTTTTCAAACCTTAGAAACAAATCAACAGTACAATTTTGATTTGACGTTAGAAAATGTTCAGACTTTCATGTTCTTTGTGTGTCTGTGTGTAATGATTCTATACACACGTACAGAAGTAACAGCATTTTCTCTGAAGAGTTTCTGAAGCTGTTTTTTACGTTTTCTGTCAGTTTCTGATTTATTATAGGAAGGAAAATAACAGCGATAGACATAAATAAGTTTAAAAGAAAGGTGTAACAGTAAATCAAATGATGTCAAATGATTGATGATCAAATGATTATTTCATGTTTGTATACAGATCATATGAGGACAATATTTTTTATTTGTTCATATTTTTTATCCATGATCAAAAATTAACTGGTAAAG